AAATAATTTGTTGTAAAATGAATTCGGCAAATGTTGAACGTACTGTAAAATTTGAATAAAGGCTGATAGTTTCGAAAGAAACTGTTTGGGGCTGCGTCGGTGGGAGTAACGAAATAATTTGGATATATCAACAAAGTTGAAATGGTAAATTGGCCACCGTAACGATTACAAAAGCTGACGTTTCGAGCGTTAGCCCTTCGTCGGAGCGAATAGAGGAATTGTGGGTTGTGTGTGCTTTTAAAGGCAGAAAATGGAGCTACGTTATTGGTGGGAACATGGCAACGAGAAAAACAAGAATAAATTAGTGGAATGAAAAGCGTTCGTTGATCCCTGTGGGATTTAGACTGCCGGATTGAAAGATGAGCTTTTGCTCAAGATTTTAACGACTTTAAAAGCACACACAACCCACAATTCCTCTATTTGCTGCAACGAAGGGCTAACGCTCGAAATGTTAGCTTTTATAATCGTTACGGTGGCCAATTTACCCCTTCGGTAACTGTTTGAAAACATCTCTCCTTCCCACAGGTGGCCCAAGCTGTCACAGGCTCTTTCACAGTAAATAATTAAAGAGTTTGTAAAGTGGTTTAGTTGGACTTGCTTCTGAGCTCCGTAAATGCAAAGTTGTGCGCGGTTGAGAGAGATTTGACTAGGGTCCAGGTCGACCGCGCATTAACGGTCTCTCAGCTGCACAAAAGGTTCCTTCCACGCATTTGCAGAATTCAGAACGGCCGCTCATTTGAAATTCTCGCTGGATTGGTTGCTCGACAAACCATCTTTTGTGGGATTTTCTTTGGTGAACTTAAAGGGCAACTATTTGGCTTTCGTGCTGCCGAGTTTTAATTCGAGGGAAAGTATTTAAGTGCTGTTTTCGAGCGATTTTGGCGAGCATGTGTCAAAAGAAGTTTCCGACCTTCCCGTATTTTATGCACGGTAATTTAGGGCGTCAAGCTAAAACACATCAAAACGGCCTCAAATCGCGAGGAGAACAACAAAGACCTCTCTATGAAGGTAAGTCTTTATTTCTTTGATTATTTCACACGACTTTACATTTACGGAGCTCAAAAGCAAGTCCAACTAAACCACTGTACAAACTCTTTAATTATTCACTGTGAAAGAGCCTGTGACAGAGCTTGGGCCACCTGTGTCCTTCCCACGATGTTCTCGATAATCAGTTTTTGTTCAGATTTCAATTAGCTAACCGGAAACACAGCTAAGCTTTCTGCAAGCACAGGTAGCCCAAGCTGTCACAGCCTCTTTCACAGTGAATAATTAAAGAGTTTGTACAGTGGTTTAGTTGGACTTGTTTCTGAGCTCCATAGTAGTGGTAATAGTAATTTATTTATCCACATTTCACAATTGAGTATAACTCGTTTTAACGTGAACGTGCCAGGTTAAAATAATATATATAACAGGCTAGACAATGATGATAATAATAGTAATAAAAAGGAAACTATAAAATCATATGGGAATCATGCATATATAGGAAATAAATAGGAATCAACAAAACTAAGAGGGAACAAACTAGGGATAAAATAAGCTATGTACAAAAGTTGCATTCACACTCCACACTGGTAGTCAAGTTGACCTCGTCCAGCATTGATTTAAAAATATTAAGAGAAGGAGCTCTTCTTGCATAGTCAGGTAGATTATTCCATAATCTTGTAGTGACGTATTGATATGACCTATGCATGAATCTGCTAGAATAAGTAGGCTGATCAAGCTTGCAGAAGCCTCTGAGGTCATATTTATTATTACGAAATAAAAACATCTCCCTAATATTATTCGGCCCCATGTTATATGAGCATTTATAAAAAAGGAAGAGAGCAGGAGAATATCTGCGATGCTCTAGGGTCTTCAGTCCCACATGGTCAAGTAAGGTACTATATGAGTTTGACTTAGCCATGTTTAAAAGAGTTCTAATGGCATACTGATTAGTGAGCTCTAGTTTGTTAGATAGGCCAGATGATAACCCAACTAAGACTGGAGCACAGTACTCTAAGCGTGGCAAAATAAATGCATATTGACCATCACCTCTGAAGGTATGAATTTACGAACTCTCCTAAGAGCACTAACTTTGGCATTAA